GACACGGAAAGAAGCCGCACGAACTCCCGCAGGGCCCCTGGATCCACATGCGCACAGGGGCCCGGGGAGGCCGCACGAAATTCTGCGGAGAACTCAGGGCCACAGGCGCACGGAGGCCCGGGGATGCCACACAAAAGCTTGCAGGGTCCACAAGACCTGGTGCACGTCGGCACCTTGCCGTGATCCGGGGCCACGGGTGCACGGAGGCCCAGCAATTCCGCATGAAAGCCCGCAGGTCGTCCGGAGCGACATGTGGATGGAAGCCCGTGAAGGCCGCACGAAAGCCGGAGGGACCCCGGGCACACGTGCACAAAGAGGCCCAAGGAGTCGACACAAAATCCCGCAGGCACCCGATGGCATGTGCGCATGGAAGTCAGGGTAGGCCACAAAAACGATCGCAGGTACCCGGGGCAACTCACACATGAAAGCCTGGGGAGGCCACATGAAGGCTCGTAGTGATCACGAAGGTCCAATGATTCCACACAAAAAACCACAGGGCTCTTGGGCACATGCGCACGGAGGCTTGGTGAGGCCGCACGAAAGCCCGCAGGGCCCCAGGGCCACTTGCGCATGGAGGCCCGGGGAGGCCTCATGAAATCCCACAGGGTCCACAAGGCAATGTACACACAGGGGCCCGGGAAGACCTCACGAAAGCCCACAGGGCCCCCGTTGCCATGTGCGCACGGAGCCCTGGAGAGGCAGCACGAATGCCCCCAGGGACCCTGTGATCACGTGCGCATGGGGGCTCGGGGAGGCCATGTGAAATTCCTCAGGGCCTCTGGGGCCATGTATGCACGGAGGCCCAGGGAGGCCGCGTGAAAAACTGCAGGACCCCTGGGGCAATGTACACACGGAGGCCCGGGGATGCCGCACGAAAGCCCACAGGGCGCTTGTGGACATGGGCGCGTAGAACCCCGAGGAGGCTGCAAGAATGCTCACAGGTACCCCAGGGTCATGTGCGCACGGTGGTTTGGGGAGGCCGCGCGAAAGCCCTCAGGGACCCCGCGGTCACCTACACACAAAGGTCTGGAGAGGCCGCACAAATTCCCACAGGACCCCTGGGGCCACGTGCCCACCGAGGCTCATGGAGGCTGCACGAAAGCTCACAGGGCCACATGCGCATGGAGGCCCGGGGAGGCCTCATGAAATCATGCAGGGACCCTGGGGCCCTGTACTSACAGAGGCTCAGAAAGGTTGCACGGATGTCTGCAGAGTTCCCGAGGCAACGTGCTTACGGTGGCCCCGGAAGGCCGCACGAAAGCCCACAAGGCCTTCGGGACCACGTGCAGACTGAGGCCAGGGGTGCTGCACGAAACTTCACAGGCCCATGGCGCCACATGCACACAGAGGCCCAGGTAGGCAGCACAAAAGTCCACAGGGCCCCCGGAGGCACGTGTGCTCATGGGCCCAGGAAGGCTGCACAAAAGCCCGCAGGACCCCCCAAACCATGTGTGCACGGAGGACTGGGGACACCGCACAAAATCCCGCAGGGACCCCAGGGCCATGTGCTCATGGAGGCCCAGGAAGGCCACATGACATCCTGCAGGGTCCCCAAGGCAATGTGCGCACAGAGGCCCGGGGAAGCCGCATGAAAGCCCGCAGTGATCTGGGGCCATGTGTGCGTGGAGTTTAAATTCTGAAGTGTTACACTTTGTGAGCTGCTGAATGTGCTTAACACAGGGTATAAGACTCTGCTTTCCAAACCCTCTCTTTGGACATGATGGTCAGGCAGCGCCACTAGAGGGATTTGAAATACTTGGATGGCATGAGGGAAATTCTGTCTTTCACCTGAGCCCRAAGTATTGCCTAAATGGCCATGACTTGGGCTGTTTTGGAAAGCCTTCGGTTACTTGATTGGCTTTTTACACAAAGTCGAGGCTCCTCCTCTAACATGGCCATTTTCCTCATCAGGGCCAGTGCCCTCCCATGCCCGGGCCTATCCAATATGGACCACGTCCCCTCCCATGCCTGGGAGCTCCAGGTTATCCAGAGGAGAGGGCAGTCTGGCATCCTTGGTGCCTAATCCCAGACGTGCTCTGTGTGCCGTGTGGGAGGATGCGGTTCCGCTTGTGAAGCGACCTCACGTGCTGCAGTTATCACTGGGGTTGTCCGTGGAGGTTTTGCTTCATTGAACACAGCAAAATTAAACCAGCCCCTAAGGCAGGATGGGAAGAATCCCACCTATCCACTGATCGCGACCGAGAGCAATAGGAGGTTGCTTGCTCACCAGTTGCAGGGATCTCTGGATTCGTGTCCCATCATGCATGGAGGACAGCAGAGGCAGCTGAAGGGCTGCCAGTCAGGCACAGATGCTGCCGGTTACCTGGTGTGGATGTGTGCAGTGCCACCACCAGGGCTCCTGAGGACCCAGAGGGTGGATGGTGGCCATCCTAGTGTTCCCTATGGAGCAAGGGAACGGGCAGGAGCTGCTCTGGCCCTTAATGACAGATGAGTCGAAATAAGAGGGCAAGGAGAAAGTGCAGTGATGAGGGGAAGTACAGGGAGCCTGGTAGCAGGATGCCCTGCCCTGAAGCCAAGATGATGCTGGTTGCCATTACTGTCTGCTGATGGAGCCCAAGTGAAATCTCACAGCTAGTGGTGGCTTCCAGGGCTGCCTGCAGTGTATGACGTGTGTGGGTGAGAAGGGGATGTTTGGGATCCCCAGCCCTGCTGCTGGAGGGCACGGCAGCCCTTTGCCATGCGCTGCTTGGCCGTATGCTCCTTCAAGGGCTGGAAGTGCAGCTATGCCTTCAGACTGAGCACCTGCCTGGAGGGACAGGCGGGGACATCAGCAGAATGGCCTGAAGACGCACACGTGTTTTTGGACTGCAGGAGAGCTGCAGGAGAGCAGGGAGATGCTCCGCTTGTTTATCAGAGCAAGGGAAGGGAGACCTAGATCATGTTGGGTTTAAATTAGCTCCAGGGGGAACAACTGCACTCAAGGTTGTGTTTCTTGAGGGAAGGACACAGTACAGCAGCCCTATTGCAGGGGATGCTGCTGAGAAGCAGACAAATTAATCCCACTCTCCACAAAGCTGGGCCCAAGAGTCTACCAGGGCCATGTCCCCCTCATCAGATATGCCCCCCACAGCTGCCTCTGCGTCTCTCCATAGAGCCCTGGCACACAGCTGTGCATAACCCACGTTATACATTAATACAGACTGTTTCCTCAAAGGAAGGCATGAGGTTTGGGCCCACTGCCTGATTTTATTAGCTTCTTTTCAAGGTTTTTGTGTGAAACCCTTTAAAAGCCAGTGAGACATTGCTAAAGCTGAAGCCCGTAGTGAGATAAGGCCGATGAGCAACCTGAGGAGAGAGGGTTGGGGAGAGGGAAGCTGAACCCATAGGGGCCATTAGAAGAGCTGCTCTAAGCACAGCTGTAGCCTGGCCCCAGTGTTTGGTTTCCTGGCTATGAGTCTGCTCCTTTCAGTCAGCTGCAGTGATACCTCAGGAGAAGTGGTTATGGAAGCTGCTGCTTTAACGTGCTGCAGGCCTAGCAGAGCAGACCTGGCTCCACCAGCTACTCAGGCAGCTGGCAGCACAGGAACAAAGTCGCCTGGGAAGCCAGAGAAGCAGTCTTGCAGCACAGGCCCCAGTTCTGCTGCAGGGGCAATTTGTCACAAGGCAGGAGCCCTGGCCCTCTTCAGAGGCCTTGGGATTTCAGAAGCAAGCCTAGTCTGCAGGCCATCCCCCCAACTTCCACAACATCTTCATGGATTTGAGGAAGAACCTTTGCTTCTTCCTCATCTTCGAGACCAGACAGCAGCATGTGGAAGTCAAGATGTCTTTACTAACACAGTAGAGACAGGCCTGTCCCAGCACAACATTCCTCTTTCCTGTCACATAACGTTGCCCTGTCCTCTCTATTTTCCATTTGGCCGCATCTTCCAGCTGCACCCCACTCTGCATCCATACACCAAAAAACACCAGCCAAAATAAAACCAATGCCTCTGAGCTCCTGCAACTTGTCTGTGGCCCCAAAGCAGCAAGACAAGTGGCCAGAGCTGCTGCAGAAACCAATAGGAGGAAGCATGTTCAGGGAGCTCTCATTTGCACATCAGCTATATTGTATTGTAGGGGCATTTTGCTTAAAATTCAGCTACTTGGTGTATATTTAAGTGGGGAAGAGCCTGTGAGAGATGGAAATCCCCTCAGGCAGCAGCAGTAACACAAAATCACTGTGAACTGCACAGAAGTTTTTGCCTTTTCTGAGAATTCATCTTCCTGGCAGTGGGGCTTACGTTACCATCCCTCCCTCTGGGACTGCC